AACAGGAATAAATAAAGGGGATGTAAATAGCGTGCTGAAAATTTCCAGCCAAGACAGGACTCGCAGCAATGGTTTCAAGTTGGAAAAATTCAGATTCAGGAAGGATATAGGAAAGCACTGGTTTGGTAATAGAGTTGTGGATGAGTGGAACAAACTCCCAAGTACAGTTATAGAGGCTAAAACGTTGTGTAGTTTTAAAAATAGGTTAGATAAATACACGAGTGGGTGTGAGTTGGACCGGATTAGTTTGTGCTGCAGGGTCTGGTGCCGTGCTCCTTCCTTGAGTGGAGGTGACCAGACTGGGTGGGTCATTGGGCTAATCTGGGGGATGGGGACATGGACCTGCAACATAGGCCTGTTGCAGTGTTCCTTCTTTCTTATGTCAGAGACAGGAGAGGGGTATTGCAAGTAAAGGTCGGAGTAACTATGGAGGCAACCAAAGAGGTCTGAGGGGGGCTGGAGAGATGTGTTGGCTGGGGTAGAAGAATCCTGCAGTGTAACAGGAGAGGAAGGACGTTGGAGGGGACACAGGAAGAGGGGGCTACACAGGGGGGTGAGCCTCCACCTTCATGTCAAGAGCTGGAAAGGGGGTGAGAACTAGTCTCCGAGGTGGAAGACAGATTCTGTACAGGTGATGGACATGAAGAAAATGCAGGTCTGCGAGGTCTAGCAGACTGAGAAGCAAGTGAGCGAGATGAAGTAGTAGAAAGTGGTGCAGAGGTAGGAGCGTCAGAGGATAAAACTGCAAAAGAATTAGAAACTGGGGTGACCCCGGAAGACATGGACGCAGAGGGACTGGGAGGTGGGAGGACCGTCGAGGTTGGAGGTCTTCCGCCTACTCAAGCATACGGGAAACGAGGAAGTTTTCCTTGAAGGCAGAGGTGAGAGACTACCATAATGTAAGGCCCTCATGCTCCTTAAAGGTAACGGATCTCTCGTTCATTACGACAGACCTGGCAATGGTGGGAAAAGGAAGGATGGGGTTCCTTGCAATTGAGACAAGAGGGGGGGACGACTACAAGACGTATTGGAATGACCTGCTGCACTGTACACAGGGCATTCCACCGCAGATCTGCAGTGTTTAGCAGGATGCCCAAAATGCCAGTAATTATGACACCGTTGGGGAGTGGGAACTACAGTGGACCCCAGGCATTCGATGGCATCGGTATACGTTAAATCTGGTATTTGATACATTTTAATGCAAAAATTTTGCCTCGCCACTCGTTAAAAAACCCGCCACACGCGATTCGTCCGTGACGCGTCCACGTGAGTGCCAGTGTTTACAAGCCAGCCAGTGTGCTCGCATCTAAGCATACATTCAGTACATTCCATATTATCACAGTGTTTTTGGTGCTTGTTTCTGCAAAATAAGTCACCATGGGCCCCAAGAAAGCTTCTAGTGCCAACCCTGTGGTAAAAAGGGTGAGAATTAGTATGGAAATTAAGAAAGATTTTGAAGGGTTTGGGGCTAACCCTGAGAAGCCTATGCCAGTTGTGGAATCCATTGTGCCTACTTCAAAAATTAAGGAAATGTGTGCAAAGTGGGTTGAACTGCAAACCTTTATGGATGAAAATCACCCTAACACAGCTACTGCAAGCCGTGCTGGTGACTATTACAATGACAGTGTTGTGGCTCACTTTAGACAAATCGTAAAGGAATGGGAGGTACAGAGCTCTATGGACAGATTTGTTGTGCGACAGAGGTCCAGTGACTCTCAAACTGGTCCTAGTGGCATTAAAAGAAGAAGGGAAGTAACCCCGGAAAAGGACTTGCTACCTCAAGTCCTAATGGAAGGGGATTCCCCTTCTAAACATTAACAACTTCGACACTCTGCCCTCCTCCCATCCCATCAATCATTACCAGATCTTCATTAAAGGTAAGTGTCATGTATTCTATTGTTAGTAGAGTACTACTAACTGTGCATGTCTTCTTCAGTTTGTGTGCATTGAACTTAATATTTCATGTGGTAAAAATTTTTTTTTTCATAGTACTTTTGGGTGTCTTGCACGGATTAATTTGATTTCCATTATTTCTTATGGGGAAAATTAATTCGCCTTTCGATAATTTTGGCATACGATGAGCTCTCAGGAACGGATTAATATCGTATACCGGGGGTCCACTGTACTTGACTGACCTCTAGTCGATGGCCCGCAATATAGACAGAGGACGGAAGCTCACAGCAGTCGAAGGTTAAACGAGCGATGTTACTAAGAAAGCGCCTCCGCCCATGAGCAGGCAGGATGTATGTACCTACCTTAAGAATAGGGAGGTTTTGAAGGGTTAATTGTTCTAAAATATTGTTGCCGCAAGACAAAAAAAATCACTCTGTACAATGGTATGCAGTAAAACCACAGTACCACTGCAAGAATTAAGAGTAGTGTGCTTATGAGCAGTGACTGGTATGTTATCTAAGGAAGTGTTGCAAGAGAGAGCATGAGCTTGCTCTGAATTCTGTACTGTTACGACACGCTCACCGCTTCGAAGAGTGTGGAAGGATATATTTTGGCCAACATGCTTAAAAGAGTTTTACCAATTTCATGATCAGACAGATTATCAATTTGAGACATCGTTTGTAAAGAAAAGAATTTTGTCCATTGCGTAATTGTTAGCTCAGTACGCAAAGGTAGCGAGTGTCGCGTAGGTCATTTTTGAGCAATCATCGACGATCTATCGTCAGTAGGTTGTCTTGGACATTTAGGAGCAGTACCACAGGCGGACTGACCTAAGGGAAGTGGGCAATCTGAAAACCGTCGCATTGTATTTGGGGAAGCCAGACGCATCGTGAGAGGAGTGCTAGAAGTAGCGGCATGAACAGTAATGGGTGACACCGCAGCACCTGAAGCAGGTGACGAAGCGTCACCGGCAGAAGGTACAGGAGTATGAGAAGAGTCGAGAGAATGGACCGATAACAAAGCTGGGTCAGAACAGTGTGAGATCAGAAAGGGGTTTGGGAGGAGGAAGGGTTTCTTTAGGCAAAGCCTCCATAATAAAGGTGCTTCATCTGTGATATATCTTTTGTTGTTATTCTAAGAAAAAAAAGAAAGGAGGAAAGAAAAAAAAGAGGGACAGTCACTAGAAGGCATGGAAGGGCCGGAAGCTCACCCCCCTCATATGGGAAGACCTCGAGCCCACGGGCAGTGAAGATGCAGCGTGGAACCCGTGCCATACCCTACCCTTCATGCCAGTAAACAAGCACTTCGGGATAACAGCCTCACATCTACCGAGCCACCTCGGCGGACAAAAGAAAGGGTGGTCAGGAACCCGCCACAAAGCATACCTCCTTCGGCTGCCACCTCCCAGAACCAACAGGCAGCTCCTGGAGATACACCTATTATCTGAAGGGCACCAAGCCTACTTCTCAGAAATTCGGGAAGGGAGCAGGGCACCTTCAGACAATTCAGATTCCACGGCAAACCACACCACCCCTGAGGGACCCCACGGAGTGGGATGAACCCCAGCACACTTCCCCCTACCTAGAAACCATAATGCCAGAGAGGAGAACCCCAGAGACTACATATGGGAAAGGGGAGGGTTGGGAAGGGGGAGGATGGGACGGGGAAGGGAGGACTAGGGGGTAATTAGGTTCGGTCGGAGGAAGAAGACCAAAAGGTCCAATTCCTGAGACCGATAGCCTCTTTACCGCAACAAGGAGCCCCCCTTAAAAAGGCATTTGTAGGAAATGATCATATACATTAACCATGTCAACTGCAAATTTTAAGAACTTGTTTTTGCCCTTAACAAAAATACTAAATTTTACCTAGTGTTTTTAGGTTCTCAGTACAGTGGTACCTTGACTTACAAGTTTAATTTCTTCCATGACCAAGCTTGTAACTCAATTTGCTCATATATCAAATCAATTTTCCTCGTTGAAATTAATTGAAATGTCATTAGTACATTCCAGCAGAATTCTTGGCTCTCGAAAGGTAGGAGAAAATACTTCAATATAACGCTATCAACTCTATGATTTATTTATCACAATTGATCTAATATGACATAATAAACAATATAAATAACATAGAAACATGAGTGCTGGCAGCCACAGTCGAGGTAAAAATAATTATTGCTCTGACCATATCTTCCCATTCTGCCCTTCTGAGGTCTTATTATAAGAGAAAACAGTGTGTTTGTGAGGCTAACTGCACTAGATCACTAGTTTCATAAGGAAAACACTGAAACGTAAGTGATTTTTCTGTTTTTTCTATGATTTCATACTTCAATTCAATGGACATCATCCTTTTCTTCTCAGCACTGTCCTTTGCACTTACTTTCTTAGGACCCATGGTTAGAAAAAAAGAAATTTTTCAAAATAACTGCACAAACAGCACAAAACGCTTGGATGCTGGGTGGATGTTGTGGCATTCGCTGCGCCAACTAGTGGCAGTGTACCTGAGGCTCACTCGTAACTTGGATTTTGGCTCGCAACTCAAAGCAAAAAATCGACTGAGCGACGACTTGTAACTCGGAAAACTCATAAGTTGGGGCACACTTAAGTCAAGGTAGCACTGTATTTAAAATAAAAAATGTATCCTTTCACATAATGATTGAGAATAAAGATTGAAAAAGGTAATTTATAACTAGCATATGAGACCATATTTCCCTTGGTCTCATAAATGTCAGATACTACCACAGAAACAGGCCATTGAACATTTATGATAATTTTTTTTTTTTTATCTAACCTTTAATGAATGATTTATATACAGCCTCTCCTCACTTAGCAACATACTTGCTTAACAATGACTCAGACTTATGATGGGCTCTTTGACCAGTATTCGTACTTAATTAATATATGTTAGAGCTGATTTCCTCTATTCTGTTTATTACAATATACAGTACACTACTGTATAAACATTTAAAAATATACCAGAAATGCTATAAAAGGTGCAAAGGTGACATTAAAACAATATCAAAGATGGTTGACACAAACTCACTACCATTAAACTAGTATTCTCCTCACTTACCAACGAGGTCATAGGAGCAGAACTCCGTCGTTAAGTGAGGAGAGGCTGTACTTTTTTTTTTCTTTTACATTTGTACAAAGTGGCTGATCAAACAAATAAATCTACCACATGAATTACCAATGTTAAATGAAAAAGTTTTGGCCTCAAAAGGCTCATGATTTTAGTAAGCATTTTCAGGTTTTCAGTATTGAAACTCACACCACATATACTCTTTGAAATGCAAAATAAATTGAAGTAAAAAAAAGATTACGGTGGAACCCCGAGTTTCGGCCACAATTCGTTCCAGAAGGCTGTTCGAATGCCATTACCGAATGAATTTGTTTACATAAGGAATAATGTAAATTAGATTAGTCCATTTCAGACCCCCAAAAATACGCTTACAAAATAATAATACACTTACATAATTGTTCGCGTTGGGAGCTGTACGAACCTCGGGGTACCACTGTAAATCAAAATAATTTTAGCATATTATAAGACTTTTCCGTTTGGTCTCACATATATGGACATTCCACCTTAATGAAAGCTTTATATTCACATTTTTTTGCTATTTATAAGTAATCGATTAAACAAATCTACAACATCAAATGCCAAATTGCTTAATACTCAGGAGTCATACAGAAATTTGGTTGGGGTTAGTCGTAGTTAGGGCTAGTAGGTGGGTGATATGGAGATCAACCTCACTGTATTCGTGGGGAAACACTACTAGGCCTGCAAGGGTAACAGCACTTGGGGAATTAAAGGCATTCAGGTTTAATCCAAGAAAGGCCTATAGAAATCAGCTTGTGTAGAAGATCAGTTTCCATGAAGAAGGTAAGGCTTTCAGCAGGAAGAGCAAGTGCATCAGGGTGTTGTATCTAAAATGTATTCTGCTTGCCCTCTGACATACAGCACAGTGTTGGACTGAAAGTGACCCAGCAATTCTTAACCCTTTGAGGGTCGACAGGCCCTCTCCGAAACTTCTCAGGGTCGGCCAAATTTAAAAAAAAAAAAAAAAAAAATTTCTAATGAAAAGATAGAGAATCTTTTCCCGATCATAATGACACCAAAAGTATGAAATTTGATGGAAAATTTATGGAATTATGCTCTCGCGAAGATAGCGGTCTCGACGATGTTTACGCATCGGCAATTTTGCCCACTTTGAGCTCTATTTTCGGCCAATTCCAATGTACTAGTCGACAAAAATCATAACTATTTCGCTAGAACTCCATTTTTTCTATCGAATGAGTACAAGAAACCACCCATTTACCAATTTCAACTATCCAATACAGTGGTCAGAATTTAGCAATTTTGCCAATTTCACACAAATTTCAAAAGATGCCAATTTCCGAATAGGGTCCAGAATAAACAAAAAAGACATTCCTGGCACTAAAATAACAAGTTCTCTGTTCGTTAGTCACATCCCCAGGCCCCTCTTATGTTTCTTTGACTTTCCACTTTGAATTTTATTCTTGCAAAAAATAGAAGATTTACTGTTATGCAGACTACTGCATTAGTGTAGAAATGGTATAAATAATATCAGCGCACTTGTGAAAGAATATTAGACTCGCCAGTTGACGTGTATTGGACGCTTGGCATGATTTGTTTACTTTTGAACTTTGATAAAAATCGAACATTTCTGCTACTTTGCGCTCAATTTCAAGGTACTTTTCATTGTAAAACCAGTCAAAATCATCTCAATTTCTGTAATATGTCTCCCATTCTATAAAATGAGACCAAGAAAACTAGAATACAACAATAAATACCATACAAAAATACAGTGCAAAATCACTGTTTTATTCCAAAAACACGGTCAAAGTTTTTTTTTCTCATTACGCACTGTGTGCTGTAGGATTTTTTTTATACTGCGCACACTGGCCACATAGACCCACTCTTTCATATGTAGGCCTACCAGCTTTCTCTCATTAGATTTGAGGGCGCTAGAATTTAGGCGTACTAGTACGTCAAAAACACTGGGTCATAAGCCGTACTGGTACGACCAAAACCCTCAAAGGGTTAAAGGCACTTAGCATCTTTCCATGAGGTATCAACGAGTGTGTGCCTGATTTATAATTATGCAAAGTTTCCCATATCCAACAATGTTGGAAAGATGGCCAAATAACAAACCTAATTGTGGTTTAATGGAGAATAATTTGTTATGCTCTTAACTTTGACCAATGCTGCTGTCAGTGATTTCAAAGCTGTTGATAAACAACTGAAAAATAGTCCAATAAAAAGGGGCCTCCCTCCATAGAAGATTTATACATTGTCAATGTCAGATCAAACGGTCAAATATGCATGTTCATAACCAAGTGAGCATCAGGAATAAACAATGTCTGTTTGCTGGAAATACAATGTAACCTGAATTAAATATGAAGTACAATGGGATACAGTGAGCCAGATTTCTGAATTACTTGTAAATACACTTTGGGAGTCTGAAACAATAAAGGAAGGAAATAATTCTACTGTGAATATGATGACTCACTCTAGTAAGTGTTCTTGGATTAAACTACCTAAGAAAACAGTTGCATACCTTACTCTTTCTGAGGATTTAGAGCCATCAGTGTATGCTACTGCAGCATATGAATGCAATTGGAAATGATGAAGGAAAAAAATGTAGGAGTTTGTAGGAGGTATGCAAGCTTTCAGGCAAGGAAGGGGAGGGGTACAAACCGTAATCATAGGGAATTCCCTATGGAAGGGAGAGAAAAAATATGATACAGGGTGAATATACTGAGTTGGGAAAGCGACAGAACATCATAGATCATACCGTTATATGAGTTGTAAAAGCTGCTTCGATAAGGCTGCAGGCAGTGGAAATGTCATGTCTGAGGGCAATGTGTGGTGTAAATATTATGCAGAAAATTCATAGTGTGGAGTTACTAAAAGTATTATTCAGAGGGGCTGTTGAGGTGGTTTGGTCATTTAGAGAGGATGGAGTAAAAAAGGATGACTTGGAGGGTGTATTAATCTATAGTGGAGGGAAGGAGGGGCAGGGGTCATCCTAGGAAAGGATGGAGGTGAAAGAGCCAGTGTGTGCAAGGGGCTTGGACATATAGCAGGCATGTGTGAGTATATTAGATAGGAAAGAATGATTTTTGGGACCTGATAAGCTGTTGGAGTGTGAAAGGAGTTAGCTGGACTTGAGTCAAGAAGTACAATGTCTGCACTTTAAAGGAGGGATTTGGGATACTGGCTGTTTGGAGTGACATCTCAACTGTCTTATCTGGGTGCCTCTGCAAGACAGTGATGTGTGAATAATGGTGAAAGTCTTTTTTTTGGGTCACCCTGCCTTGGAAACAGCCATTGTGTTGAAAAAAATATATACAGTATGACCTAGTTAGCAGGTTGGTAGACAGCAATTGCCCAGGGAAGTGCTACCATCCTGCCAAGTCAGTGTGAAACTGAAGCCTGTAATCATTTTACATGATGGTAGGATTGCTGGTGTCCTTTTTCTGTCTTATAAACGTGTAAGATTTCAGGTATGTCTTGCTACTTCTACTTACACTTACGTCACATTATACATGTATGTACAACCATATATATACATACCCCTCTGGGTTTTCTTACTAGTTCTTGTTCTTATTTATTTCCGCTCATCTCCATGGGGAAGTGGAACAGAACTCTTCGTAAGCTATGCATGTTTGCAAGAGGTGACTAAAATGCTGGGAGCAAGGGGCTAGTAACCCCTTCTGTGTATATTACTAAATTTAAAAGGAGAAACTTTTGTTTTTTTTCTTTTGGGCCACCCCGCCTCGGTGGGATATGGCCAGTTTGTTTGAAGAAGATACAGTAGGACCCCTGTATCTGTGGGGCATACGTTCCAAGGAATTGTTGTGTATACCAAAACCAAGGATAGTAGCAAACCCTATATATAAGTCTTATACATACCTATTATAAAAGTTTAACTGATAAGTTATGCACAATAAGTGGAAAATTATCACTTTTTCATTGATGGAAAGCACTTCACAGCTTCTCTTAAGCTTTGAAGAACTGCCTGCTTCTCTACTTTTGCACTTTGGGGCCATTATTATGCAAGATCAAGAGGTATTTTTGATCCACAGTAGACTGTGGATAACTGAAACTACTGATACTGAATTGGTTGATACGGGGGCTCTACTGTACGTGTATATATATTTTTTTTTCAACAAACTGGCCATATCTCACCGAGGCAGGGTGACTCAAAAAAGAAACACTTTTAGCATCATTCAACACTTTCACCATCATTCACACATACATATTTACCGATACTAATACTATGACACATCCTTAATTTGACTTAAATAATTATCTTGCTACTAATCACAATATGGTATAAAGCATGGCAATTGATATAGACAAGTGGTTTAAGAAGATCTGTGAACTGACACTAGGACATGTCATTTTCCAGGTTGCCAGGACCAAAATATTTCATATGTCATAGTGTTTGCTCACGTGTGTTTTGAACCACTAATTACCATACACCTTTACTATGCTAAGGAATGTGTTATGGTGCAGTCACTTAACGGTTCTAATTCCAGAAAACATGCCAACAAGAACCGCATTTTACTCCGGAAGCCTTGAAGAACTTCTTCTTTCACTCTGTTGAAAAAATTCAAAACAATGAATGGAGTTAGTAGAAGGACCTGCAGAGAGCAAATGTAGCATGATTAGAGAATATAAAAAGTCCCAATACTGTAGCTGTTATAAAACACAAAGTAAACTGCATTTATGATTTAAATGGTTTAGAAAACTGATAAACTGAAGAATTAGATACTTTTGCAGCATTTGGGAATCTTTGTTGTGGAAATGTTTCACCAGCAAGTGACTTCCTCAGTCCAATACAAAGATGAATGATGGAGGAGGAGGAGTTTGAGGTAATCAGTCCCTCAGCCTTGAGTCAGTGTGTTCAGTCCATCAAGATTGATGTACAACACATTGACTCAAGTTTGAGGGACTAATTACCTCAAACTCCTTCTACCATTCCACTTGTTGATGAAACATTTCCATAATAAAGATTCCCAAATGTTGCAAAAGTGTCTAATTCTTTAGCCTGGACTTAGCAGAGGAAACTAATAATGATGTTTTGATCCATCCTGGACCTCCATAAAGACAGTTGTGATTTGACAATGGTCCGCAATGGACTGAAATATCATCATAAGCATTGTCTTTTAAGTACAGGTTATTTGTAATTAGAATAATTAAAAATTTGCTGAAGGCAATAATAAAGTGAGGGAGTAAGTGCTAGAGCAAATTTACAGATGTCAATGTGAAAAAAATTGACTAATTTATGACATCTGGCAGATGCCATAAATTGTAACAAGTCACAACAGAGAAGCTGGAATACTTCATAAACCCACAATCAGGAGGTGCAACTTAACACGGTATTTCAATCCATCCTGGACCATTATCAGGTTAAGAATTTATTTGAAAATGGTCCAGATGGATTGAAATGGTGTCTAAAGTCTCATCTATAAATTGTGGGTTAGTTGTTGACATGTATAATAAACAGTGATCAATGGAAAAATAAACCCACATTAAACCAAGAAAACAGGAAATATCATGAGTATTGTATATTTCAACTTCACATTGAGACTGTCTTCATTCAACTGATATACCTTTGAAGAGTTTCAAGAGTTCATCTAATCTCTGAGCCCAGCCATGGGCCAGGCTCGTCTGATGTTTGCCAGATCAACCAGGCTGTTGCTGCTGGAGGCCCGCTGCCCCACATATCCATCAAAGCCTGGTTGATCTTGCACATGGTGAAGATACTTGTCCAGTTTCCTCTTGAAGGCTTTTACACTTGTTCCAGCTATGTTTCTGATATCTTCTGGCAAGATGTTGAATAGTCTTGGACCCCGGATGTTGATGCAGTGTTCCCTTATTGTCCCCACCGCACCCCTGCTCCTCACTGGGTTTATTTTACACTTCCTCCCATATCTCTCACTCCAGTATGTTGTTATGGCAGTATGCAGATCTGGGACCAAGCCCTCGAGTACTTTCCAGGTGTATATTATCATGTATCTTTCCTCTCCACTCCAATGAGTACATGTTCAAGACTTGAAGGCTTTCCCAGGTGCTTTACTGGCTCAATGTGAGCCATAAACGATCTCTGTATTTGTTCCACCTCCAATATTTCTCCTGCTTTGAACAGGGCACTGAGCAATATTCTAAGTGAGAGAGCACTAGTGATTTGAAGAGTTATCACCATCAGCATTATTTTCCTTGTTTTGAAAGTTCTCAATACCCACCCCATCATCTTCCTGGCTATCGTGATCTTTGTCTTGTTATGGTCTTTAAAGAAAGGTCAATGACATAATTATTCCCAGGTCTTTTGTGTGTTCCTAACTTTCTATTTGGTGACCCTCTTGAGTTTTGTATACAGTGTTCCTTTGGAGTTCTTCATTCTTTCCATACCTAAGCAGCTGGAACTTATCACCATTGAACGTCATGTTGTTCTCCATAGCCCACCGGAAAACCCTGTTTATGTCTTCCTGTACTTTTTCAGTGTCCTCTACCATAGTGACTCTCATGCTTATTTTAGTGTCATCTGCAAATGATGATACAAAAGTGTGCCGGGTGTTTTTATATATGTCTGCTATGAGGATGAGAAACAGCAGAGGTGCCAAGACAGTGCCTTGGGGCACTGAGCTTTTGACCTCACTGATGCTGGCTCTTGCCCTGTTCACTACTACGTTTTGTGTTGTGTGTGTTAGGAACCCAAAAATCCATCTGCCTACCTTCCTCATAATGCCAATGGCCTTCATTTTTTGCGCTATCACTCCATTATCACATTTGTCAAACGCCTTAGCAAAATCTGTGTAAATCACATCTGCGTTTTGGTCATCTTCCAATGCGTCCGTAATTCCGTCATAATTGTTCAGCAGCTGTAACAGGCACGATCGTCCTACTCTAAAACCATGCTGGTTCGGGTTATGCTGGTCCATGAAATCTGTAATCTGCTGTCTCGTATAGATTTAGCGTCTCCTCATGATATAATACATTTTTTTTTTTTTTAACAAGTAGGCCGTCTTCCACCGAGGCAGGGTGACCCAAAAAAGAAAAAATCCCCAAAAAGAAAATACTTTCATCATCATTCAATACTTTCACCTCACTCACACATAATCACTGTTTTTGCAGAGGTGCTCAGAACACAACAGCTTAGAAGCACATATAATATATTTTCATCAGTAAAAAACATACAAGATGTAAAGCAGTAAATGGTTAGTAATAGCAATCATGGTGCATAGAGAGATCATTCTGCTGTGATCATAACAATAATGGAAAATTTACAACTAACAGACTTTGTCCGTTGCTTCCAAATCAATGACCCAGTGGAAATCATCCCTTATTTCTGAAACTCATTAGATTAAGGATCATTAAATCAAGAGTTTACTATGTACAGAGGCAGGTCATATGACTTCAGTTTGCAACTTTTGTCCTTACAGTCAAATTTTACTGATGTCATCACACCCTACATATATCTGACAGATAATAATTATTTTTTAAAAGACTATGAATTTTGATTATCAAGACACCACAATTCTCACCAACCCCCACACTTCTCATCAATGTTCTCACATTTATAATGCTGTTTGATATGAATATGCTTACTGTTAAGACAAATAACTAACCTTTCCTCTGCAGCTGAGAGTTTGGGCAGCATTTCTATAGCTTCTTGAAATGATGCACTACAAAACAAAGGTGGGATTAATAAAAATTACAAATATACCCCATATTGATGGCATATTTTTGCATGATTGTATAGTCACATTATGTGAACAATATTAAAGATAATAAAAATAAAAAGGCACAATACTATCACTGGAACAATACACAAATAACTCACAGAAGAAACTAATGATGACATTTCAGTACGACTTGGACCATTAACTAGTCACTCTGGTTAATGGTCCAAGCTGGATTGAAACATAGTCGTAAGTTTTTTCTCCTAAATGTGGGTTATGTGAGTATAAAATGACAATAGCTAATCTGGAAATGATTAATCCATATGGCATGAATTAAGATTTGGACATAGTGTACAAGGCAAAGTTATAAATGTAGATGGTAAAGACAAACAGTAACGACTAGTATTTATAGTTGATGTCTGGGGATGCAGAGCAATTAAACAAGGTTCAGCAGATTTTTTTTTTTTTTAATAGTTGGCATACAGGGAAATTTAGAATCTACAAGCAGGAGGGGTCCATATTTTTTGGGTCTTTAATGTGTGTGACTTTCAATTTTGGTATTCAAGGTTAGCCTACACTCTGAGCAACCTATAACATATGCTCTGAACCTACATTCTATGCTCTGAACCTATATCCAATACTCTGAACCTATACCCTACACTCTGACCTTAAATCCTATACTTAGAACCTGTATCTCATACTACGAACCTGTATCCTATGCTCTTAATCTGTATCCTGTGCTCTGAACCTATATACTATATTCTGAACCTAAAATATCTTATATTTGGAGCCTATATCCCATGTTCTGAACCTATATTATATGCTCTAAACCTGTATCTTATACTCTGAATCTGTATTCTATACAGTGGACCCCCGCATAACGATTACCTCCGAATGCGACCAATTATGTAAGTGCATTTGTACGTGTATGTTTGGGGGTCTGAAATGGACTAATCTACTTCACAATATTTCTTATGGGAACAAATTCGGTCAGTACTGGCACCTGAACATACTTCTGGAGTGAAAAAATATCGTTAACCGGGGGTCCACTGTATTGTGAACCTATATCCACTGCTTTGAGCCTATATTCTATGCTATGAGCATTTAGGTCAAGAGTTATGTGCTGGTCATTGAGAGTTCCAGGACAAACATCTTTTGGTCAGCATAATGGTTATCATATGCCTATTAAACTATTTTTTTATTAACACATCAGCCGTTTCACACCAAGGCTGGGTGGCCCGAAAAAGAAAAACTTTCATCATCATCATTCACTTGATCATTGTCTTGCCAGAGGCATGCTTACACTACAGTTATATAACTGCAACATTAACACCCCTTCTTCAGAGTGCCAGCACTGTACTTCCCATCTCCAGGAATCAAGTCTGGCCTCCCAGTTTCCCTGAATTCCTTCATAAATGTTACCTTGCTTACAGTCCAACAGCACGTCAAGTCCTAAAAACCATTTGTCTCCATTTGCTCCTATCTAACATGCTCAAGCGCGCTTGCTGGAAGCCCAAGCCCCTCACACGCAAAACCTCCTTTACCCCCTCCCTTCAACCTTTAGTAGGCTGACCCCTACCCCACCTTCCCTCCACTACAGATTTATACACTCTCTAAGTCATTCTATTTTGTTCCATCCCCTCTACATGTCCAAACCATCTTAATAACCCCTCCCAGCACTCTGGATAATAGTTTTGGTAATCCTACACCCCCTCCTAATCTCCAAACTATGGATTCTCTGCATTATATTCACACCACACATTGCCCTCAGACATAATGTCTCCACTGCTTCCAACCTTCTCCTTGTTTCAACAATCACAACCCATGTCTCACACCCATACAAGAGCGTTGGTATAACTATACTATCATACATTCCCCTCTTTGCTTTCATGGATAAAGTTCTTTGTCTCCACAGACTCCTCAGTGCACCACTCACCTTTTTCTCCTTGTCAATTCTATGATTCACCTCATCCTTCAAAGACCCATCTGCTGACATGTCCACTCCCAAATATCTGAACACATTCACCTCCACCATACTCTCTCCCTCCAATCTGATATCCAATCTTCTGTTACCTAATTTTTTTTTTATCCTCATCACCTTACTCTTTCCTATATTCACTTTTAATTTCCTTCCTTTACATACCCTACCAAACTCATCAACCAACCTCTGCAACTTCTCTTCAGAATCTCCCAAAAGAACAGTGTCATCAGCATAGAGCAACTGTGACAATTCCCACTTTGTGTTAGATTCTTTATCTTTTAACCCCACACCTCTTGCCAATGCCTGAGCATTCACTTCTCTTACAGCTCCATCTATAAATATATTGAACAACCATGGTGACATCACACATCCCTGGTTCTTCCTCACTCCTATAAGATGTTATTCCTCCTTGCCCTATACACAAAATCACAGCTTCCCTATCTTCATCAACATTTAACAATTCCTCAAAATATTCCCTCCATCTTCCCGATACCTCCAACTCTCCATTTAATAACTCCCCTCTCCTATTTTTAACTAACAAATAGATTCTTTCCCTAGGCTTTCTCAACTTATTAATCTCGCTCCAAAACTTTCTCTTATTTTCAACAAAATTTGTTGATAACATCTCACACACGTCCTCTCATTTGCTCTCTTTTTACATTGCTTCACCCCTCTCTTTTTCTCTCCATATACTCCTCCCTCCTTGCATCACTTCTACTTTGTAAAAACCTCTCATATGCTAACTTTTTCTCTCTTACTGCTCTCTTTACATCATCATTCCACCAATTGCTCTTCTTCCCTCCTGCACCCACTTTCCTGTAACAAACTTCTGCTGAACACTAACACTATATTCTTAGACTTACCCCATACATCTTCTACCCCATTGCCTCACTAGCCCATCTCTCCTCCAACAGTTCTTTACTATTACTCTAACTGCCTCCTCCTTTAGTCCCTAAATCCTCACTTTTCTCTTACTTATTAAACTATACATATTTAAAATCAGCAGAATATAAAGGATTTCACTGATATAACTTATTTCTATAAGTAAGGAATGAGTGTGATCTCTTGACCTAGTTGAGAGGTCATATTATAACCAATGGTGTATCATCTGACAAAATATTTCATAATTAAAAACAAAGATTGATGTATTTTTTTCACAGTTGAATTTACAGGCCAAGAGCTGTTATCCTACCTCAGCTCATTTCAAAGCACAGCCATATCTAAGATATTGGATGGACCTATAATAGTCACTCCCAGGTATCTACATACTGCTAGGTGAACAGGGGCAACAGATGTAACGAAATATGCTCAATGTTTCCATCTCATGCTGCTTTTGCATTATTAGAAAGACAGCAAGATAATGATAATAGTTAGTGTGTTTTCCTTCTTTGGAGGTCCTTGCCTTCCACATTATATGACTCTGAAGGAGGGATGGGGATGCTGCAGTCGGAGGGTAATCTGAATTGTGATGGCAGCACACTTCTGGAAAGACAGTGATGAAATGAAGAATGTAAAGATTGAAACAAGAAAATACTGTGACTGTAACAATATACAAAGAACCTGCACTAAGGACTGAAACTTATGGCAACATTTTGGCTTGACTTGGACCATTAACTAGTCACACAAGTGTGACTAATTAAGGGTCCAAGTTGGACTGAAACACCATTGTAAGTTTCAGTCTCCTATGTGTGGGTTATTTGTGTATGGAGACTGTATTTTCTTCTTTGGGTCACCTTGCCTTGGTGGGAGACAGCCAATGAGGTTAAAAAAGAAAAAAGTCATTAGGAAGTGCACAACCTCTAATAGTCCAATAGCAACTGGGAAATGTAAGGTATGATAATCAGGTTGGTGTGAGGCAAAGAAGGGCAGCTTCAATTCCTCATGGCACTTCCCTTTAAGGGTAGTCAATGAGAAGCAACCATGGCTCTCAATGCAAGGAATGAAGAAAGATACAAAGATAACATAACAAAGCAGAAAACAACAAAGCTATCTTCACCTTGCAGCTGAAGATATGTGGTTCCTCAGTACAGCTGTGAGTGCAGCCAAATCTGTGTGTGCTTGGAGTATTCCATACTTAGACCATTTACCAACACATGCAATAAGGCGAGACATCTCCTCTCCAACCCCCTCCACCACTCGACCAACAAGTCCTCCAACAAGGCCTGGCCACACACCAACAACCTGTTAAAAAAATCCAGTAGCAAGATCATTAATTATATAAGAAAGTTCCAGATAATTCCAAATTTTCAAACAAATGAAAAAAATTCTTTAAAACATGAGAGAAAATAAACTAGAGGCAGCTACCATCTTACAAATGTCAGGTTACACGAATGTGTTTATGTACAGAGTACAGTACTGTACTTAGAAATCAAGTTTAGTTTTACTTCTGCCAAGTTGCAGTACAAATGTGTTAAACATGACCATCCTTTGTGCTAATGTTTCCTATATAAATAACCCATCTGTAAATAAAAAAGCCAGGACTGCAACCCATGTCTAGGTTTGGAATTCCTTTATTTTATTATCAACTATGTTCTTATAATGACTAAGTAGCTCACTCTTGGTGCAGAAACTGGAAACTATTTATGAGTTCACTTATTCCTGGGACTGAAGTCATTTTGCCTAGTTATATAGGAAGGTGTTTCACCCTCATTTATGTGATTGTTGGCAAATTCTTTAAATTTATCTAGCATTTCAGCATTGAACATTGAAAATTTTTTAATTTTACTAGTAAACTCCTTACCCAGATAAATGTCATAATGCAAGAAGAATATGCAGTAGTAACCTTGGATGATCAATAATCCAGGATAACCTAAGAAAGCCAAGCTGTGTGGCTTATTTCCATTGGTCCTCCACCAGGATGCAACCCACATGTCTACTAACTCCTAGGTATCTATTTACTGTTAGCAAACAGTATGCAGAATTACATTTTTTTGTTTTACCTGTCTCAATTACTGCTACTCTACCTTACTGATTAATTATATTGAAGGAACAAGAAATACCATACAAATAAATACAAGTATTTAAGGCCGGAATCAAAACATATATCGTTTATTAACAGTAAAGTTACAGTTAACATTTTCTTACCTCAGCATGAACGTGTGTTATATTAATAAGAATCTCCTTAACGTAAGTACGAACATCTGTGGGAGGGTGGTCAACCTTTTCCCAGTCATAGTGGCCAAGATACATTGACCTTTCAATCATACCTGCCAAAAATATGAAACAAGACATATTTACCATAGGTGAGAGTAAAAAAATTATCATGTGGTCATCACTGTATGTTGTTGGAAATACCTTACTATCAGTGCTAAAAATTCACATCACATGTTCAACAATTCACAGATGAATTAACAGGAAAACTTCGTTTTTTTTAGCACATCAGCCATCTACCAGTGAAGTAGGGTGAAGATAAATAATGTTTATATATATTTGGGAGTTGACGTTTCAGTGGATGGATTTATGAAAGATGAGATTAATCATAGAATTGATGAAGGAAAAAAGGCGAGTGGTGTGTTGGTGTATATTTTTTTTTTAACAAACCTGCTGTATCTCACCAAGGAAGGGTGGCCCAAAAAGAAAAACAAAAGTTTCTCTTTTTAAATTTAGTAATTTATACAAGAGAAGGGGTTACTAGCCTCTTGTACCCGGCATTTTAGTCGCCTCTTACAACACGCATGGCTTACAGAGGAAGAATTCTGTTCCACTTCCCCACGGAGATAAGAGGAAATAAACAAGAACAAGAACTAGAAAGAAAATAGCAGAAAACCCAGAGGGGTGTGTGTATATATATATATATATATATATATATTTTTTTTCAACAAGTCGGCCGTCTCCCACCGAGGCAGGGTGACCCAAAAAAGAAAGAAAATCCCCAAAAAGAAAATACTTTCATCATCATTCAACACTTTCACCACACTCACACATTATCACTGCTTTTGCAGAGGTGCTCAGAATACAACAGCTTAGAAGCATATACGTATAAAGATACACAACATATCCCTCCAAACTGCCAATATCCCAAACCTCTCCTTTAAAGCACAGGCATTGTACTTCCCATTTCCAGGACTCAAGTCCGACTATATGAACATAACCGGTTTCCCTGAATCCCTTCACTAAATATTACCCTGCTCACACTCCAACAGATCGTCAGGTCCCAAGTATCATTCGCCTCCATTCCACTCCTATCTAACACGCTCATGCATGCTTGCTGGAAGTCCAAGCCCCTAGCCCACAAAACCTCCTTTACCCCCTCTTTCCAACCCTTTTGAGGACGACCCCTACCCCTCCTTCCTTCCCCTATAGATTTATATGCTTTCCATGTCATTCTACTTTGATCCATTCTCTCTAAATGACCAAACCACCTCAACAACCCCTCTTCTGCCCTCTGACTAATGCTTTTATTAACTCCACACACTTCTCCTAATTTCCACACTCCGAATTTTCTGCATAATATTTACACCACACATTGCCCTTAGACAGGACATCTCCACTGCCTCCAACCGTCTCCTCGCTGCTGCATTTACCACCCAAGCTTCACATCCATATAAGAGTGTTGGTACTACTATACTTTAATACATTCCCTTCTTTGCCTCCATAGATAACGTTTTTTGACTCCACATATACCTCAACGCACCACTCACCTTTTTTCCCTCATCAATTCTATGATTAACCTCGTCCTTCATAAATCCATCCGCCGACACGTCAACTCCCAAGTACAGTGGACCCCCGGTTAACGGTATTTTTTCACTCCAGAAGTATGTTCAGGTGCCAGTACTGACCGAATTTGTTCCCATAAGAAATATTGTGAAGTAGATTAGTCCATTTCAGACCCCCAAACATACACGTACAAACGCGCTTACATAAATACACTTACATAATTGGTCGCATTCGGAGGTAATCGTTATGCGGGGGTCCACTGTATCTGAAAACATTCACTTCTTCCACACTCCTCCTCCCCAATTTGATATCCAATTTTTCTTTATCTAAATCATTTGATACCCTCATCACCTTACTCTTTTATATGTTCACTTTCAACTTTCTACCTTTACACACATTCTCAAACTCATCCACTAACCTTTGCAATTTTTCTTTAGAATCTCCCATCTGCACAGTATCATCAGCAAAAAGTAACTGTGTCAATTCCCATTTTGAATTTGATTCCCCATAATTTAATCCCACCCCTCTCCCGAACACCTAGCATTTACTTCTTTTACAACCCATCTATAAATATATTAAACAACCATGGTGACATTACACATCCCTGTCTAAGACCTACTTTTAACCGGGAAGTATTCTCCCTCTCTTCTACACACCCTAACCTGAGCCTCACTATCCTCATAAAAGCTCTTTACAGCATTTAGTAACTTACCACCTATTCCATATACTTGCAACATCTGCCACACTGCTCCTCTATCCACTCTATCATATGCCTTTTCTAAATCCATAAATGCAATAAAAACTTCCCTACCTTTATCTAAATACTGTTCACATATATGCTTCAATGTAAACACTTGATCTACACATCCCCTACCCACTCTGAAGCCTCCCTGCTCATCCGTAATCCTACATTCTGTCTTACCTCTAATTCTTTCAATTATAACCCTACCCTATACTTTTCCTGGTATACTCAGTAAACTTATTCCTCTATAATTTTTACAATCTCTTTTGTCCCCTTTCCCTTTATATAAAGGGACTATACATGCTCTCTGCCAATCCCTAGGTATCTTCCCCTCTTTCATACATTTATTAAACAAAAGTACCAACCACTCCAACACTATATCCCCCCCTGCTTTTAACACTTCTGTCATGATCCCATCAGTTCCAGCTGCTTTACCCCCTTTCATTCTACGTAATGCCTCACGTATCTCCACCACACTTACATTCTGCTCTTCTTCGCTCCTAAAAGATGGTATACCTCCCTGGCCAGTGCATGAAATTACCGCCTCCCTTTCTTCCTCAACATTTAAAAGTTCCTCAAAATATTCTCGCCATCTACCTAATACCTCCCTCTCCCCATCTACTAACTCCCCTACTCTGTTTTTAACTGACAAATCCATACTTTCCCTAGGCTTTCTTAACTTGTTTAACTCACTCCAAAATTTTTTCTTATTTTCATTAAAATTTCTTGACAGTGCCTCTCCCACTCTTTCATCTGCTCTCCTTTTGCACTCTCTCACCACTCTCTTCACCTTTCTTTTACTCTCCATATACTCTGCTCTTCTTATAACACTTCTGCTTTGTAAAAACCTCTCATAAGCTACCTTTTTCTCTTTTATCACTCCTCTTTCCTCCTGCCCCCACCCTCCTATAACCACAAACTTCTGCCCCACATTCTAATACTGCATTTTTAAAACTATTCCAACCCTCTTCAACCCCCCCACTACTCATCTTTGCACTAGCCCACCTTTCTGCCAATAGTTGCTTATATCTCACCCGAACTTCCTCCTCCCTTAGTTTATACAATTTCACCTCCCTCTTACTTGTTGTTGCCACCTTCCTCTTTTCCCATCTACCTCTTACTCTAACTGTAGCTACAACTAAATAATGATCCGATATATCAGTTGCCCCTCTATAAACATGTACATCCTGGAGCCTACCCATCAACCTTTTATCCACCAATACATAATCTAATAAACTACTTTCATTACGTGCTACATCATACCTTGTATATTTATTTATCCTCTTTTTCATAAAATATGTATTACTTATTACCAAATTTCTTTCTACACATAGCTCAATTAACCCTTTCAGGGTCCAAGGCCCAAATCTGGAGTCACGCACCAGTGTCCAAGAATTTTCAAAAAAAAAATTTGTTATTTTTTCTTATGAAATCATAGAGAATCTTTTTGTGAAGGTAATAAAACAAAAAGTACCAAATTTGGAAGAAAATTGACGAAATTATGCTCTCGCGAATTTTGATGTGTCAGCGATGTTTACGAATCGGCGATTTTGCCGACTTTGACTCCCATTTTAGGCCAATTACATTATTCCAATCAACCAAATTCTTAGTTATTTCACTAGTATTACTTCTATTCTATCGATTGAGCACAAGAAATCGCCAAGTCAACTGTTCAACTACAAAATAAAGTGATCGGAAATTGTTAATTTGGCCAATTTAACACAAAGTTCAAAATATTCCAATTTCAAAATAGGGTTCAGAATAAACAATGTAGGCATTCCTGGCACTAAACTAACATTTCCTCTGTTCATTAGTTATGTTTTGAGGCTTTACAAATAAATTCCATTTTGATTTTTTATTCACATAATGAATTTTTATTCACACCAAAAAATAGAAGATTTACTGTTATGCAATACTGTAATAATTGTATAAATATCATCACCATATTTGTGAATGTATATTAGACCCACCAGCTGACGTGTATTACACGTGTGAGGTCGTTTGTTTACTCTTGAATATCGGCAAAAATTTAACATTTCCGCTACTTTGAGCTCAGTTTCAAGCCATTTCCAGTGCTAAAACCAATGAAAATCATCTCCATTTTTGTAATATGTCTTCCATTCTATCAAATGAGACCAAGAAATCGCAAATACAACTATAAAAAACATATGAAAAAACACTGCAAAGTTGCTGTTTTAATCGAAAAATCATGATTTCAGTTTTTTTCTCTCATTATACACAGTGTGCCGCAGGATCTGTTTTATGTGGTGCACACATACCACATAGATGTATTCTCTCATATCTAGGCCCAAATGTACCACTCACAGTTTATCAGAGTGAGCTGAGCTCATGGCGTAGATCTACGGTTTGGACACTCACCGTAAAGCCGTAGATCTACGGGACGGACCCTGAAAGGGTTAAAGGCTCCCCATTTACATTTACCCCTGGCACCCCAAATTTACCTACTACTCCTTCCACAACATTTTTACCCACTTTAGCATTGAAATCGCCAACCACCTTTACTCTCACACTTGATTCAAAACTCCCCACGCATTCACTCAACATTTCCCAAAATCTCTCTCTCTCCTCTACACTTCTCTCTTCTCCAGGTGCATACACGCTTATTATAACCCACTTTTCACATCCAATCTTTATTTTACTCCACATAATCCTTGAATTAATACATTTATAGTCCCTCTTTTCCTGCCATAGCTTATCCTTCAACATTATTGCTACTCCTTCTTTAGCTCTAACTCTATTTGAAACCCCTGACCTAATCCCATTTATTCCTCTCCACTGAAACTCTCC